ATTCAATCTATGGAAACCAATCTTTTGTTCTCCAAGATAAAGACACCAACGATAATTTAATGGTTTTTATCATGCAATTGTTTCTTGTTTTTGAAAGAGAGCAAAGAGGTCTACTGGCAGATTAAAAAATGTTCTATTTGGTTCTCCTGCACTTTTGATAATGTTCCTATTGACAATGTTATAAAATTATGCTTTTTATATTAAAATACTTTCAAAGAAATCTGAAGGAATGCTAAGTAAGGTGTTTGAAGGTATCTTTCTGAGATGCTTTGTTTTAATGCAAAAATCTATTAAACAACAAAAGGTTTATTCAAATAACATACAAAGTTGCCTGTACTGTATTCTTATTGGTGTAATGCTGCTGGTTTGTACAATGTATCCGTGTGGGATTGACTCTCTTATGCTCAAGCATACTAGATAAGATTACATCTACAAAATCAATGCTTGCTTATAGAATTGAGCTGATAACTGAGCAAGACAATGCTCATCCTTCATTTTTCATTGTATTCTGAAGTAAAATTGCATCATTAAAAAAAGGTGCTTCCCTCCTGATCAGAGTGAGATGTTCACTTCTGATCAGAGTGAGATGTATTTTTGTTTTCTTTTTATATTTATCCCCAACTTGTTTTCTACCAGATGTGTTGGACTGTAGTTCCCTTGATAGTCGGAAATTTGAAGACTTACATCCTATATATGTGGGGTAACACACACTGTTTTGCAGAAATCATCTCATTTTGCAATATTAAATTGCTTTAGTTGCAATCCCATGGTCCTGTAAGACTATCTCATGTACACTAGAGATGTTCTGAAGGCAGAAAGGAGGTCTGCTTGTTGTATGGGGAGATTGGATTTTACAATCTCATCACTGAAGCTGAAAAAGATGTTTCGTCAAGAGATCTGAGACCAAAAATTGATGGTGTCCTGGAAGTACTTCTGTCTTCTAGAGAAGCTTCTCATGATCAAGGGCCTTACTTGTCCTAGAACATCCTTGAATGGGGGAGCAGTGATATCAGTAGGATGGAAATAACAAGGACAGAATGCACTTTACATGGGGATAAGGGAGGTAGAAAGACATTTCTCTTTTGCTCTGCTGGTGCTAATTGTAAAGGATCATAGATCCGGCCTTGGTAAAGTTATGACAGAACTATTAAGGTGGGGACTTGCAGGAAAAAAAAATTACACAGAGTGAGATAGAGGGAAGTGTGAGAAAGAAGCTCAAAATAACCCCATCTTGATTTTGTTTAGTATAAGGGAAGACAGAGAAACTTAGATAAGCTTTCTAGATGGATGTCAGCTCCTCAAAGAAGGCCAGGTCAAGAAGCAGGAATGGTAGGGATTCCATATTATGTAGTAAAAAGAACAAGTTTTGAAAGTTTCTCTGTGCCCATCTTACACTAAACAAAATCAAGGTGGAATTATTTTGAGTTTGTTTCTCATGCTTCCCTCTTCAGTATCTCTTCTGCAAGTCCCCCTTTAAGAGCTTGCTCTTTCCTTTCCCCTTTAATGGCTCTCATACCTTTCCCAAGGTCAAATCTACATTCCTTTACCCGAACTTAGCAAGGCTTTGCCAAAGCAGATCTGACGTCAGTTAGCAGGATTGCTCTACCTGACAAGTTGCAAGGACTGATGGTGTGAAAGCTGGTTCTCAGATTGACAAGTAACCATTTCCAAAATAGTCAATAGGTGCAGTCTGCCCCTCCTTCAGAAAAGAAGAAAAAAGCCTCCTCCCCTTTACACCGAGAGAGCGGGGAGAGAGAGAGAGAGAGAGAAACAACCTTCCTTCCCTAATTTGCTGGTATATAACTTCTCATTTGAAAGTAGAATATTTGCTGGAATTCTTGTTCTGTTGCTTTAACCACCTTAATAAACCTTTCTAATTGCAGTTCTGAGAAAGGTGTTTCTTGGGTTTAATGGCTTCCAGCCACGCTGATACCAAAAAGTCCATAGATTGATATATAACAATAGTTTCTGTAGGTGAGATGCTCAGACATAAATATAATTTTTAAAAAACAGCTGGTGAGCTATATTGGGCATATAGTAATTTGGCATATGTGACTAAGTGCTGCAAGTATCTTTTAAAAAATTCACACAGACGTGGGCATCATTTTTCATTTTCCCCAATTGTGGAGCAAGTTGAGGAAAATGCTAGAAAACATTTGCTATTCATTGTTAGTAAGTAAGTAGACAAGGTGTTTCAAGTTTGTGGGAGCCAATTTTTTTCTCGCAGATCTTTTCAGAGATCCAGCTGTGATGGCAAGAAATCAGCGCAGGTATGTGTGTGTGGTGGTGGTAGTGGTGGTGGAAAACCTAAATATATAATCTAAGTCATAGTTTATTTAACGGTGATTTATTAAATTAGCAAAGCCAAGGAAACTTGTGAACCTTGCTGCTCTGATGCTTAAAGCCAAAGACAGACCAGGTAACTGCTAGAGCCAATATTTTCAAAAATAGCAAGTTAGCCATTGTTTGTCTTCTCTGAGTTCTTAAGTGTACATGAAATGTTCATAGTGTTTAAAGCAACCTACTCCAGCTGCAATAAAATCTAGCTTTTTCCTGCACTGCAGCTTAAAAATGTGTTCAAGCAGTTCTTACAGCTTCAGATTCTCCCTCCATTGTCTTTGATTAATTTCCACCTTGATTAATCTGAGCAGCACAAAAAAGTTTGCTCATCTTGACTCCAATGAAGTTACTGTCTACAGTATGCTAAACCATACTAGGTGGTTAATGTAAATGTGTGCACTGTCATTTTACACACAATCTTAATTATTGTCCAGGCTGAGTATTTCAACTGAATGCGGAGTAGCTACCATGTACAATTAGTACTAATCAGAATCTGAAACATTGTTTTTCCAATTCAAGTTCACAGTCTCATCTCAGACCATGGTTAAAAGTCTATATGGAAAGAGGAATGAAATGGTAGCATTTGCATTAATCACCCAACGTAATTAAGCATGTTATGCAAACCAGAGCTATCTGTGGATTTTTTCTAGCAGACCAAGGCAAGTTACTTCTGCTTTTTGTCAGTAGTCAGTGGCCTCTTGTGTTCTCATTCTACACTGCAAAGAGGTTTGGAGAGATACAATGCTATTTCTCTGATTTTAGAATTATTTGCACCTGTTCAAAGTCCTGAAGATTGTTAAGAGAAATAAAGTCCTTTTGATCCTTTTAATTCTCAGCAGACACTGTATTTCCACTTGAGGCTTTAGAAAGATCAGAAGTACCATATACTTTTGTAGCTCTCCAATGGATTCCTTATTGAGTTGTTACAAATGCTCTGTAACAGATGCACACTTGGAAGCAGATACGTTTTTCTACAGAATTTAATGTTCTGGTGCATTTAGCATCTATAACATGTACCTGCAAGTTGAACATCATGGGCTGTATTTGCGCGGCTGACTGAGTCTGTCACTATTCCTGATGGTGCAGTGGCAGAGGGACTCACAAACCTAAAACTCCCCTGGTTATATAGTATCCTAACTACCTTTCAAAGATTGGCCAACTATCATGTTCCACTAGGGCAGAGGGAAATTATATAGGGTGAAAAAAATAATCTAAAAATCCATGGTGACCCTATCAGGGTTGTTACCACCATGGACCAGTTGTAAGGCTTAATTCACCTGTCTGTCTACCCATTTCAGCCCCTCTCCCCACATATGTGCAGACTGAAAAGAAAATCAATCCAAGGAGATGGAGCGCCTACAGCAGCCCAGTTCTGCAGGACAGTTCTGAGTTCTTGTCCGCAGGCAGGCAAAAAAGAAAGTTAATTTTATGTTAACCCTCTCTCCTAGGTTTCCACAGCATGCCAATACTGGCTGGAATTTATTGACCCTGCAATTAATCCTGATTCCAACCTGTAGTAATCATTTACTGTGTTTTACAACACACTGGTCTTTAAATAACCCAATTAAATGTATCATGCAAATGGAGCCATTGTGATTTGAGAGGGATTTGTAGAGCCCTACATGTGTAAATTACATATGCTGAGTAAAAACGTAAGTTATCCTAAAAGGAAAGGCATCTACATGTAAGATGGAAGCACCTTACAGTTTTCTTGCCCACCTTGGATTGCTGAGCAACTCAAGAGAATGATCAGTCTAGGTCAGTGTTTTTCAGCCTTACCCACATGCTGACTCTGGAATTCTGGGAGTTGAAGTCCACACATCTTAAAGTTGCCAAGCTTGAAAAACACTGGTCTAGTTGATGCTAACTTTTGGTGGTGGTATGCTTTATCTTATTTTGCTTTCTGCTCTGGTTACATATGTAAAGTATGAAAAACTGGCATATTTCTTTAATTTTCCATTGTTTGTGCTTGGGCCACAAATACTGTATACCCATGTATAAATGTGTGTCTGTCGTTCACATGTTTTATAGCAGAATCAACTGTGTGCCATGGCAATCAGTATTTTGTAAGCAACTGTCATACTGCTGTACAAGATAGCAATGGATTCAATGAAAACGTTTCTAATTTTGTCTGTCTTCATATTGAGTTTAAATCCCCATATTTACCTATAGCAGGAGTATACAAAATGTTTTGAATTCAAAATGTTTCAAGTTTGTCTTTAGTGGAAGTGTTTTGACACCATTCCAAATATCCTGGAAATATTTTGAGCTCAAAAATTTGCCTTGAGCTCAAAATGGGGTATTTTTGCTCAGAACACTTCCTGGTAGGATTAGGGTAGAGTAACTTTGGATCAACTGTTCAAGCTTGAACCATCTCAGATTTGAATTTTTATTTTTTTTTTTGCTATGTTACTTATCTACATTCATTGTAAGCAAATTAGATGCAATTAGAAATAGTTAAAACATAAACACCTTCAGCTGTATGGCTACTTATTTGAGAAAAAAAAGGAAACATCTTTTAAATGCTAAGAACCTTTTATATGCATTGTCACCATTTTTAAAAATATCTGATAGGAGCATAAGTAACTTTTCATTTAAACTTGTATAATATATAGTCTTGCTTTGAATTTCTATCTTAAAGTCTTGTTTCCTTTTCCTAGCCTGTGCAACATGCCTCTGACTGTTGATTTACTGGATAACAAAGAAATGTTGGACGCTTGTACTGACAGTGCTGCTGGTTTTCCTCCTGTTGGGGGATTAGTTGAAATGTTGGAAGGGGGAGATGGTACAAAGGAGCACCCCTCTGAGAAAACAAATCTTGCTGGTAAGGCACAGCTCTGTGAACTCATCAGTAGTGGGACACTTATATCATTTTATTGGTAGGCTGAGTGGCTTACAACTATGTCTCTGAGGTGCTCTTACATTATGAAATAAGCATTTTTAGCATAACTGATGGTTTTCCAATGATCATCAATTGATTCCGGATACTAAAAAAAAAAAGTGCAGTGACAAGCAATCTCTCTCCTTCTCTCCCTAATGATTTCTTTGTCCAAATATCACTTGCTTATTTTTCCCCATGCACTGGGCTTGTTTTGTTTTAACAGCATGTAACAGTAAATTCCATAAGTGCCCTGCATTAACAGCTTTGCACAGTCCTGTGTTCATGGAAGTGCAGGCGTTAGCCAAGGAATTTATTTGCCTAACACCTGTCTTGTCATGAGCTATGATTCTTCTTGCTGTCCTCTAAGTAGCAACATATTATCCCTATAATGACGGAAAACTTCCAAAAATCTCCATTTGGAATTGTCTCTCCCAACCTACTAGCTCCTAATTCCTATAAAACTATTAAACGTTACAGAGATTTTCAGATAATGTAGCTACAAGTACTTCTAAGTGTGACTGCATAGAGACCATAAGAAAAAATAGCAGTTACAGATAAGTGAAATCCATTTTTACCGTTTGAAACGGATGTCAGAGATGAAATGCCAAAGATTTGTAGAGCTTTATTCAATACTGGGTTCTTTATATCCAGTTTCTTTCTTCCTCTCTTTTTCTAGTTGATGAACCATCACTTAAACTGAAGCACCTGGAAGCTGAGCTCACTCCAGTATTGATTTCCCAGTCCAACATAAACATAAATGTCAATGAGCAGGTATTGCATATTTTCTCTTCCCAGAAATATGGGATTAGGGTTTTTATGATGCTTGCTGTTTCCCATAATGTTTTTGTTCATGCAGGATAGAAACTGCTATGTCTTGCAGCTTAGCAACCAAGTTTGGTGGATTGAAAGTCTATAAGATTGGCAGTGCCAAGCTCTTGAAGGGCATGCTGGCACAGAAGGGAGCAATTAATTTTTAATTAGATAGCCATTCAAGTTGCTTTTGTTTCTGGAGTGCAGGGAATAATAAAAGCTTGACTTCACTATTTTTTCCATGTGTTTAGGAAGATGTGATGTTCTGTATCTATATCTGCATCTGTTCTAAAGAACATTCTGTAATGAGCAGTAGGTGGAAAATGTGTTTGAAAAAACAAACTTAAGCTATGTGGACATGCAGAAGTTGGAGAAGCACATCAAAAAAGTGTCTTGGGACCACCACAATGAGTTCTATAGGATCTGAAGAGAAACCAGAGTCAAAGACAGTTTTTCTTTCATGTTGGAAACGATTGTGGTTTAGTTCATTTGCAAAAGCTTTTCACATGGAAGATTAAAATGCTACTTCTCAGTGTACTCCTAAAACACAATACTCTAAAATACAGTAGTCAGGTTAAATAATCTGGGCTTGTTTCAGCAATGCCTCTGTCTATAAATATTATAATGAAATGCTGTGGATGAGGCTAGGCAACTGCATGATACACTTCCTCTGGGTGCATCTCAAGACATCCTGGGATTTGCACTTAAACCCTGTGATACAATCAGCTGAAATAGGATCAATGCCCTTGGCTAAAATAAACACTAGGCAATTTTCAGGAAGGCGATCTGATCTGACAAATGTTTTTCTCCTTAGAAAAAATAATTTCCTAATAAAAATACTGCTTCTTGTCATTTGAGACAAGTACATATTTATTGTGAGATACATTCACATTGCTGAGTTAGCTCTATTAAATTATGGCGATCTCCAAAGGAAAAATCCACATAAGAATTAAATATACGCTCTAATGATTGAACCAGGAATCCACATATTAACAAGCATTCATTCATTTGATTATAAAGCAGGAGGATAAATTTTAAAAAGTAAACAGAATATAATGGGAGCAAAACTTTCACCTTTCCCCTTTTTACCCAACTTTACTTAGATAATGACAAAACTGATTTGGAGTGAAAACCATAAATCAGTGTTGCTAAGGAGGGTACAGGATTTATTTTTGCTTTGCCAGATGGAAAATGATTAAAATTCTTAATTCTTTTTTCACAGGGGCAAAGAAAAATTATATAAAAATTAATTTCAGCCATAAAAAATAGAACTGAATACAGAAAAGAATTCTACTTCACATATGAATACTGAATGCAAAGCTTACAAAATATCTTTCTATAGTATAAACCAATATGCTGAAAGTTGATTTAATCAATCCTGCTTGATGTACAGTTCGATGAAAAAGTATTTGCCCCTTTTGGATTTTCAGAATTTTTGCATATTTTTATGACTTGGAATTATCAGAACTTCATGTGGGTCCTTCAAATTTAGTCCTTTGTTTGAGCCATCCATTATGCAGTCTTCCAGCATAAAAAAATAATTGCCTCTCCCTAGTTCAGTCAGTTCAGTTAAAATGGTAACTAGGGCCAGTTGTATACATATTTCATTAAACGATCAGAGCTGATTTGGGCCAACCCTGTTCTATCTAAATTTCACAAATATTGGCTCTCATATGGTGAGAATTCACCCCAGTGAAATTCTCATCACACAGATTTTATGGCATGTCATAACCCCCTCCAAATAAAATGAAGACCTCCAGTAAAAAATTATTGATATTAATTTGGAAAAGTTACATATTGAGTTCTAAAGCTCTGGGGCTCTATCAGTCCACAGGCAGAAACATAGTCTTGCAATACATAAGATTTAGGAGAATAGTGAAACTTCCAAGAGTGCCTGACCCCTTAAAATCATTCAAAGATTACAGTGTAAAAATAATCCAGGAAGTCACAAAGAACCCCAGAACAACCTGCAAACTTCTCTCAGTGTGGCTAAGGCACCAGCTGAAAATGGGATTCCTGGGAAAGTAGCAAGATGGAAGCCATTGCTCACTAAGAAGAAGAAAATTGATGTGCACCCCAAGTTTGTCAAAAACCACCTTCCCTATTTCGGGAGGAACATTATATGGACAAATCAATCTAGATTGGAACTTTTTGGACTACATAGATGTTGTTATGCCTGGCAGAAACCAAACACACATTTCACAAAGTATCTTATACTGATGCTCAGGCATGGAGGTGGAGGTGATACTCAGGCAGTGTCATCATTTGGGAATGCTTTGCTGGTTCAGGACTTGGATGATATGCTATCAGTGAAGGAAGCATACATCCTGCTTTGTATCAGAATTCTGTAGGAAAATGTCAAACTATTTGTGCTGAAACTGAAGCACAAATTGGCCATGCACCAAGACTGTTCCCAAGCATACCAAAAAAAAAAAAAAAAAATTCATAAGAGAATGGATGTAGAACACATTGAATGGTTTGGATTGGTCCACTCAAAATCTAGATGAAAATCCCACAGAAATGTAAAAGGATCCAAAATGAGCAGTTTGTGCTATAAAATCCTCAAATGTTACTAAGTTGAAGTTGTTTGCCATGGAATAATGGGCCCAAATTCCTGCACAATGAAGTGAGACAGTGATCAGCAATTTACAGGAAAGATTTGGTTGAAGTTAATTGCAGCTAAAGGCAGTTCAACCAGTTACTGAATTTAAGGGTTGTTCACATCGGCACATCACATGTTGAATAACTTTGTAACAGTAAGTGAAACGTGAAATTCAGGTGTTGTTTATTCACTCAGGCTCCTTTTTCACTAAGGCCCACAGCTATACAAATTAAATAAATAAATAAATAAAATGAGGTTCTGACAACATAGTGTGTCAAATATATGCAAACATTCAGAAAATCCGAAAGGGGATGAATAATTTCTTTATAGAACTCTATATGAGATGCAGTACACCTATAAATTAGTCCTGTTTTGTAAGCCTTTTGAATGTGTTCCATCTGCATGTAAGTTTCTCAGCCATAGCAATTGTCCACTGTTTGTATATCCAATTCTGAAGTGAAGAACTTTCAGCATTTTTGTGCTAGTTAGAAACAAAAGAAAAAAATGTTCTTTATTCTATAGGAAGCTGTTATCTTCATTAATATTTGAGATATAACTGTAGGATTAAATACCAAAGTTCTTTAGTTACTGGGCAACGGAGCCACACATCAAAGTCTTATTCTATTAATGCACACAATGGTTTTGTCTTAACTCCTTTATTTAGTTTACGTTCCAGAACATTGTTTTGCTGCTAATCATCCTATATTTCACATGGAAACCCACAATAAGGCAGAGTCCTGGTCAGAAGCATATGTAATACACATATTACATGTTAGATGTTGAAGTTATATCAGTTCCTTTTATGTGCTGCTGTTCCTGGCTGTTTACTTAACTGGGTATGCTGTTGATTAATGTAGTTCTGTTTATTTCTAGGAGGAAGTTATGAAGTTGACAGATAAATGCCTGAATAACGCAATTGAGAGCCCTGTGAGCACCTCCATGCGGTTGCCTCCAGACATTAAGAGCAATATTCTGAAGGCCCAGGTAGAGGCAGGGCACAAAGTAAGAGCTTTGCTTCTGTAGTCATTGTTTTGGTAAAAAGTTAACATTAATTTTCTGTCATATTTTCTTTTAAGAGTCTCAGGTTTTGCCAATATTGATACTGTTCTTTATCATTAGTCTTTAATTTACATACATGATTTAAGCACCTGTGCAGAGCCCTGTCCATAATCTTCTAGAACCTACAGGTGTGTTGATAGAAGCTCTCTCTCCACCTGTTCGACATGAGTACTGTACCTTCTCAGTAGTCGGGACTGGGCTGTGTTATATTGCTAAAGGCGTGGGCAAATCTGGAGAATATTGCTGAAGAGAGTGGTTGGGTGGGTGATAGGACTTTTTCTGCTGAATCCTCAGGGTTTGAAGGTGATAGGCATTTTACCATCCCGATCCAAGGAAGGAGGCCTGTGCTAGAGAGAAATTGCCACCAGTATATTTAGCCTTTCCTTGTCTCTGAAGCATTCCAAGGCTTACTGAAGAAAGCAAGAAACTCCTGGGCTCAGCCAGTTTCAGTACGATAACTTATTGCCATGTTGAGAATATTTATAGAGTAAAGGAAGAGGAATGCTGTTTCTTATTCCAACGTCTATCACCTAACTCCGTTACAGTAGAGGCATCATAATCAAGCTTCTATTGTCCAGAACGTTCTCCATCCAGACACAGTGAGAGCAGAAAACTTGGATGCAGGTTATACTCTTCAGGGGTATAAAGTATTCTTTGGGAGCACATAAGAAGTGACAGAAAAGGGCACTTGAGTAATGTTAGGCTTCATTGCCTTTGACCTTCAGAGAGAAAAGGTGGTGGGTTTTAGAAGATTATAGCCTCCATGAATTTTTTTTTTTTTTTTTGAGATGTTACTATGTTTCTTCTCTTTTAGGTTGTGAGGGAGGGAAGCATATCTGGCAGCAAGAACACTAATATTCAAGATGTGGCTGGAAGGTATTGAGATTGAGATTGAAATGTGCTGAAGATTTCTGCTCTAACTGTGGTGCGAGCAGGTTCCAGTTCCCTCTTAATAATGGAAGAAGCCACTCATAACAAAGTTCTGTAAAAGTGATGTTAGTGGTTTTAAAATGCCTACAGGATAATATTTCTGGGAATATTATTAACCCAACTCTTGTTGTGGTTTAGCCTTGTCTCTGCTTAGTCTTCAAAAAGGAGGGCTTGTGTCTTATTCAATTGAGATTCTAGAAAATTGAATATCCCTACCTAGCCAGGAGAACAAATACTTTGGGACTGATTACTCCGCTGTTTAAGAAGGTAGCACTGAGAGTAAAATTCCCATGGCTTGCACCCGCTACTTGGGCATCTTTCTGTCAGAAGTTGGAAAAAAATTAGTCTCAGAATGTAGATATGTGATACAGGTAGCCCTTGTGTTACATCCATTCATTCAGCGACCATTCAAAATTATGATGGCACTGAAAAAATGGACTTAAGACCAGTCCTCAAAGATTCAGCTGTCACAGCACCCCCACAGTCACGTGATCAAAATTCAGGCCAGCCTGTGTTTATGACCACCCCTCCGCTGTCCCCTCTGCTGCCCCACCCACCCACGGCACATACACCTCACCCACAGCACTCACCTGCACTCTAGTGCCTATCTGCAGCACCCACCCCTCTGGTCTGAGCTCCCTAGTACCTGCTGGGGCATCCACCCCTCCGGCCTGCACTTCCTAGCACCCACCTGTGGTACCTACCCCCCTGCCCACACTCCCTAGCACCTGCCCGCAACACCTACCCTCTCACCTTCAGCTCTCACCCACTGGCCTAATTGCTTGGGATTCTCACTACTTCCCACTTAATGACCCTGGGGTCACAACAGCAACCTGCTGTCACTAAGCGATGTGGTCATGTGACACACTTTATGACCACATCGCTTAGCAATAGAAATTCCAGTCCCAGTTGCCGCCCCATATAAATACCATGGGCACGCATTTGTCTGCAAGCTTTCCATAGATCAATGATTTTTCAAGATTTTTATCTGCCCAATGGGTACTAACTGCATTAGATGGAAATAAACATAGACATTTGCAGTTCTCTAGAATAACGCAAGTCCTATCTAGAATTCAGCATCCTGAGAGTCATGGCCTTCATTGTGAATCAGTCTGCTGCTGCTGCTTGATGCCATTGGTGTAGGCTTGAATATCTGGGAGTACAGCATATATGAATCTCATTCCGCATAAGACTCACCTGACTTACACCAGATCAGACTATTTGTCTATCCAGCCCAGGATTGTCATCTTCTGTTCCTGGCAGCAGTTCCTCAAGACTGAGTTGTTTCACAGAACCAGGTCTCTGAACCTTCTAACAGAAAGTGCCAGGGATTAATCCAAGAATCTTTTGCGTAGAAATCAAGGCCTCTGTTTCTGAGTGCCAGGCAGCCCAAGGCCGTACCCACGGTTTTCCTTCCTCCCTGCCCCTTTTTCTTTTAACAAAAGTGTGGTAGGTTAAACTTGATATGTGTGTATGAGAGAGAGAGAGAGAGAGAGAGAGAGTGCTAAAAGGAAATGTAAATCTAAATCTCTCCGACCATAATGCTGCATTCCTAAGTGCTGCTTAGAGAACTATGTTACATCACACACCTTCTCCTTGTATTTATATCTGGTAGAAACCACAAAACATGAGGTAAATGTGTTTACCCAGATGCAATTTTCCTAGGTTATTAACTTCCCTTTTCCTTGCCACAGTACTGATATTCACAATGACAAAACATTTCCAGGAAATGGTTTGCGTTAAGAGAGTGCCAGGCTGCTTTGCTTTTCAATGCTGAAGGAAAGAATGTTCTTGGCAACAATGGAAAAGAGCTCAATTGTTACATTTTTGGCTCTGCTTTATTTAGAAGCATTCTTCCGTCAGGAAAAGAGAAGAACAGCCCCCTGCGAACCCTCAGCCCCGTGTGCCAGGAACCACGAGAGGGACTGAAAGTGATCCCAGTCACCAGTGCCTTCATTCTGTAAGTCCTTTTGTGGCGAAGGGGGCTGTTCCCACTGGAGAATGGGAGTGCGTGAAAATGTGAGATGAAATAATTGAAGAACAGTAGATGGAGCACTTGAAGGGCTCGCTTGTTTAACTCCGGTAATTTCCAGTCAGGTTAGGGTTCTTCTTTTCTATGGGAAACCAAGTAGCCAGAAATTTGGCCTAGACTTGTTCTCAACAAGCAAGAGTAGAGGATACGTACCCCTCATTTTAGTTGAATATGGATTTCATAACTTCTTGAGCCACTTGGTGGACAGGCTATCACTGCCATCTGTCTGTCCTTCTCAAAGGGTTGCTATCATTTGTCCATGTGTTCATTTTTTTTTCATTTTGTGAGTCCTTTGTGTAATAATTTGCTTCTTGCTGACTTTCAAAAGGCAGAAAGTGTGATGGAATGGTGTTATGAAGGCCACACTCAGGGAGATAAGCGTTTCCTTAGCCCTCAACAGGAGTGTGGGAAGTTTAAGATGAGACTGGCACCACCCTAAGGAATTCACGGTGTTGTGGCCTGCTGGCTTGGGAACAGGTTCAGTCTGGAGAGATTTCTGTCTTGAGGTGGA